GCTTCGATATGTATAGACCTAGCGAAGAATTAATTCGTCTTAACTTGTCGAAAATTATGCAGGAACGTGTGGCGTACTATTCCAATATTGATCGTAATGTGAATCCCCAGAAAGCTGGAGAAGAAAAGTTTTACGCTTTCACCACGGCAAAACATAAACTTATGTCCGACGAACCAGGCAGTGTGGTGCGGGGTGTACCTGATAAACTCTTTGTTTATTGCGATATTTGCGAGTCCTATACAGGGTGTCCCATTTTAAGTGTCCACCCCAAATATCTCCCTTATTTTTTATTTTAGAGAAAAATGGTTCAGACACGTTTTGTATAGTTTCGAGGGCACCATAAGATGGTACCATTGATTTGACCTTGAAGAATCATTTGAAGGTCACGTGAAGGTTACCTCAATTTTTTTAGATAGCACTCTCTATTTTTTATTACTTGTAGCTGACCTCGAGAGCTTTCCAAAACACTATAATCAAATGTTTTTTGGTGAAGTACTTTTCGAGTTATAAAGCTCCAAATTTACAAAATTTTGATAAAAATACAAAATATTTCGTAAAACATTCACTTTCCGATAGTCTTATCTTACGTGATCTAACCAGTCAAGGTAAGATCCGAGCATGATCCAACCAGTCAAGACGAGATCCTGTATTTCCTGATAATCAATGAACTGTAACAATTGTGAAAGTGCAATTGTCAATTCTTTTAATGAAACAAATATCAAGAGGCTTGTTTCAAATTTCTTACTTGGGCAACTGTCGGTATTTTGGCGAAGTCTCAGACAGACGCATATTATTATCCATTGACTTTTTTTTGATAAGACAGGAATTTTTTGTTTTTTGGCGTTTTTTTTTCTTTATAATTATGGCTGCTTATCCACCAAATGAAATTGTGGACATAATTCGCATTTTGGGTGAGGCCAGGAATAATTACTCGGCAGCAGAAAGGCTTTATGCTGAAAGATTTCCAGACAGACGCCATCCTGATAGGAAAGTAATAAAAAGATTCTGCGACAGAGCTGAACAGGGTTTACTTAGAAGAAACCGGCGAAAATCGGGCCCTGATGAAGTCACATAATTGACTGTTATAGGTGCCGTTGCTTTGAATCCTCAAATCTCTACGAGACAAATTGAGAGGCAATACGGTATATCTAAATCAACAGCCAATCGTGTGTTCAAGCTCAACAAGTTTCACCCATATCACATTCATCTAACTCAGCAATTGGAAGAGAGGGACTACCAACGCCGTGTACGTTTTTGTAACTGGGCTCGAGATCAAATCCAACAAAATCCCCGGTTCATTGCTGATACGCTTTTTTCTGATGAAGCCACGTTTTGTAATAGAGGAGGCGTTAATAGACATAACTGCCATTATTATTCAGATGCTAATCCACATTGGCAGAGAAGCCAAGAGTTCCAACGGCAGTGGTCCATTAATGTTTGGTCAGGCATCCTGGGAGATGTTATTGTTGGTCCATATTTTTTTGAAGAAAATTTCAATGCGGCAATCTATCTAAGATTTCTTCAAGATGACCTGCTCAACCTCTTGAGACATGTCGACAATGATTTACTCAGACGAATGTGGTTCCAACAAGATGGAGCACCGGCTCATAGATCTCAAGCTGTTACACAATATTTAAACAATAGATTCCCGAATAGGTGGATTGGTATGGGCAGCCGAGTTCAAGAATGGCTAAGATCACTCGACTTGACACCCCTAGATTTTTATTTCTAGGGCTATATTAGAGATATAGTTTATTTGCAAAAGCCAACTGTTGAAAATATGAAAACCCGGATCAGACAGGCTTGCAGAAATATTAATGTAGGTGTTCTTGAAAAAGTTAGGGACGACTTTCACCATAGACTAGAGCTATGCATATAAGTAAATGGCCAAGTTTTTGAACACTTTAAGTAATTGTACACAAAAGAAGATCTTACCTTGACTGGCTGGATCATGCTCGGATCTTGCCTTGACTGGCTAGATCATGCTCGGATCTTGCCTTGACTAGTTGGATCATGCTCGGATCTTGCCTTGACTAGCTGGATCATGCTCGGATCTTGCCTTGACTGGTTGGATCATGTAAGATAAGACTATCGGAAAGTGAATGTTTTACGAAATATTTTATATTTTTATCAAAATTTTATAAATTTGGAGCTTTATAACTCGAAAAATACTTTACCAAAAAACATTTGATTATAATGTTTTGGGAAGTTCTTGAGGTCAGCTACAAGAATATGTAATAAAAAATAGGGAGTGCTATCTAAAAAAATTGAGGTAACCTTCACGTGACTTTCAAATGACTTTTCAAGGTCAAATCAATGGCACCATCTTATAGCCCCCTCAAAACCATATAAAACGTATCTGAACCATTTTTCTCTAAAATAAAAATAAGAGAGATATTTGGGGTGGACACTTAAAATGGAACACCCTGTATAAAATCATGTTAACATATAATGTAACACATCTCAGTTAAAAGCGAGTACTTTTACGAATAACATTGTAGATTGGAATAGTGGATCTCTTAACACACGTTGGTGTCCTGTCCGATTATACGATAGGTCACTCCATTGGTGAACTTATCTACGAATACGTTGATGGACGTTTTACTATCGAGAAAACAATTTTGGCAGCGTATTACATAGGCACAGCGTTCGAGCAGGCCAAGTTGCAGGTTTCAAAGATTTTAGAATTTCTTAATTATACGATTTTTCGCTTTTCTTAGTGGAGAGAAATATCTCATTTATATGCATTTATAAAGCCATACATAACAGTATTAATCACTGTTTCTTAGGTTGACGACATTACTGAGAGTCGATCCGAGTACCTTGGGATTGTTATGTCAAAACTGTTGGAACGTTTCAGCCAGATATTACCATCGCAATCTTCAAAACGCCACAGTGTAACACAATTGGGCAAGCCACAAAGTGAACGCGACATGTTCGAGACTACTGCAGAATATTACGCGGATAGTATACTGTATCCAATATTATAAAAAAAAAATGACAGCTTTGTTACCGAAGGATACGATACTCGTCGTCATATTACCGACAGTGCCGCAAAATGATTTTCAGTTAATCATAGCAAATTCGCTGGAGTCAACGATGACGTTGATTTCATTGTATAAACGCGGCCAGAAGCATACCATACAAGACTTTTTAGAAGGAATCGGAGATCTTTATAATGTAAGACTTCAGCCACAGGTTGCACGTTTGTATCCGCCAGTTCAATTTCCTGTTAGTCGCGGAACACCAATGATATCTCCTCTCATTAGGTGCGTCTCTTCCTGCGTATCAAAAAATGAATCACATTTCTTTGTTTACATTATTATGACTAACTTGAAGACAGTATTGCAGATGGGATCACTCTGAAAATTATTACTTATACCATTATAAAGGCGAAAATAGAATTTTGGACAAGGAAAGAGTCGTCACTATTAAAACCATTGACGAAGACTTTGAATGCATGTCTGGTCACATAATCGATGGGAGAAATTTGTTACCGGTTATGGGTTACCTTTACGAAATTTGGCATACAATTGGCTTGTCGAAAGGCATTGATCATAGGAGTATACCGATTGTATTTGAAAATGTTAAGTTCCTACATGCTACTCACCTATCAAAAAAAGACGAAGTGGAATTAACTCTTGTGATCCAAGAATGTAAATATTTTTGCAATTACTAGAGTCTTGTCTCTCGATATTTCCTTTCAAGGACATTATGATAAATATTAATGATTAACTGTATACAACCGACGATAAGAAATAAAAGAATATCATCGCAAAGTCGCAGCCATATTAAACTCACAACAAAAAACAAACCGGCAGTGCTGATTTCAGAAAGAGCAGTATTATCTTGTAATAATTCTTGTAATATTCTTATAGGCAGTAATAATTTCGAGATTATAGAGGGAGGCAATGTGATCGTCAGCGGAGTCGCGAGGGTGCCTGATGATGTTGCGAATGAGAAAATACCTGTCCAGTTCCTATCTAAGGATGACAATGCTGAGGAATACATGAACACTTCAGATATTTACAAAGAACTACGACTTCGGGGCTATCAGTATAGAGACTTGTTTCGCTCATTGAAGAGCGCCTCAATTAATAGGAGCGTAGGGCATATCAAGTGGTCGACGAAATGGGTGTCGTTTATGGACAATATGCTACAAATGAAAATTCTGTCGCTCGACTCGAGAAATCTTTATGTACCAACTTAAATTCGTAAATTAGTAATCGATCCCGAATATCATATGACGCTGATACGCAAACTCTTGATGGAGGAAAGATGTAAGTCTGCTTAGTTTACTTTTAAAACAAATTTCGTATTCCGACTTAATGCGCTCATAGTACAGGTTTCCTCTCTTTCATCTCGAAAATGCTCATCTTTTACAGACGTATCCGTACGCGTTTATGATTCTTTCGAAGCTATTGTATCCGGAGGAATAGAAATTTGTGGACTAAAGGCCATATCCCGCCGGCCAGCACAAGTTGAACCTATACACGAGGAATACAAGTTCATTGCTTACCGCGATCATACCATGATCTCCTTGGAAGATGCAGTGCAATTATCGGTACATATCGCTCTTGAATGTTACGATTTGAAAAACGTCAAAGTGGTTGAGATCGTTGAGGACGACGACAAGATTCTGCTGGAAGATTTAGTTACTCCAATCGTTCACATGGTTCTGAGCAACTTGCCGTTAGTGCGACCTAATCTCACCTTAATTGCAAAGGAGAACAGATTTGACAGCTCCTCCTTACCTCAAGGTCTATCAGTCATACAGCCTCACAAAATATTGAATGGCGATACGTTTTTAATGGTCATTGGCGTTGTGATATTGGCGAAAGGTGCACGTTTCTTATTATCCAATGTAATGGCTGGTGGTTTTCTATTTACTCGAGAGGATCTCAACGTCACGTATGACAACGAGCTACCGCAACAGTACAATTTAAATATCATTTTGAAAAATCGCACAGAACGAGAAACAGTGCTGCTTTTGAGAAAGGCGGAAAGTGCTATAACGAGACGAGAAGTCATACGTATAAACAATTACGAGTTTTCGTGGATCGATAAGCTCAAATCTGCGATAGACGCGGACTACGGGACGAATTCAAGAATAACACTCGTTGCTTAAGACGACTCTGATTGCGGTATATTAGGGTTTGTAAATTGTTTGCAAAGGGAGCCAGGCGGCGAATCAGTTAGATGCGTCTTCATCCAAGATAAGGACGCGCCCAAATTCTCCTTGCAAGAGCCTTTCTACATGAATCAGTTACGACTGGACTTACCAATTAATGTCTTAAGTCCCGGTAATATTTGGGGCTCTTACAGACACTTATCATTACCGCCGCCGAAACTGATACCTGTGCAATGCGGTTATGTCGCTCAGGGGGTACGTAGACATTTATATATTTATACAATAATAAGAACAAAACGGAAAGGAATTTACGCAAAACTTTGTCGAACCTTGTGCGTAGTAAAGCGTCGAACTAATTTAATCTATTTGGAATCAAACGCATATTTATAATACAAGTAAATATTTTTTATATCAACGATAATACGAAATTATAAAGTGGACTTAATTTCCGTTAGATTCGAGGTGATCTGAGCACCATCTGCTGCTGCTGGGTCGAAGGACAGATATCTCCTAAATTCAAGCGTAAAAATATCATACATACAATTTACGCGACACTGAATTTCAAAGATATTATGATAGCAACTGGTAAACTTGCGTTGAAATCCTTTCAAATGATTAGACGAGATATCGATTCCTTCTTAGGCTTCGAGCTCGTTGGTTACGAGGGCAGTTTGATAAATCAGTGACTTTTTGAATTTTCCGTGCAGTAACTTTAAATGCAGCACTGCTCCCATCAACTGCCATCTATTAATAGACTACTGTACAAGTTTGGGCAAGCTGCGCCATTTAGTTAGTGTTTGACAGCCATTGAAAGCAGACAACCTCGTGAATTTTAACGAAAATGGAAAAAAGTGAATTTCGTGTGCTGATTAAGCATTATTTTTTGCGTAAAAAAACCATCACCGAAACCAAGACAAAGCTTGATAAATACTATGAGGACACTGCACCATCAATTTCAATGGTTAAGAAGTGGTTTACTGAGTTCCGTTGTGGTCGTACCAGCACAAGTGACGCCGAACGTTCAGATCGCCCAAAAGAGGTCGTCACGCCAGAAATCGTCGATAAAATCCATGGAATGATATTGGACGATCGGAGAATGAAAGTGCGTGAAGTGGCTGAGGCTGTAGGCATCTCAACTGAGCGGGTACATCACATTTTACATGAATATTTGGACATGAAAAAGCTATCCGCGTGATGGGTGCCGCGATTGCTCACACTCGACCATAAGCGCAACCGTGTGACCATTTCAAAGGAGTGTTTGACGATGTTCAGCCGCAATCCGAACGAGTTTTTGCGCCGTTTCGTTACCGTAGACGAAACATGGATCCATCACACCACACCAGAGACCAAGGAACAATCAAGACAGTGGATTTCTTCGGGTGAACGTGCACCAAAGAAGGCCAAGGTGAGTCTGTCGGCCAACAAGGTCATGGCCACAGTTTTTTGGGATGCACGCGGTATCATTCACATCGATTACCTTGAAAAGGGTAAAACGATCACCGGCGAATATTATTCAGAGCTTTTGGACAGATTCGATATTGATTTGAAGCAAAAACGACCGCATTTGGCGAAGAAAAAAGTGCTGTTCCATCAGGACAATGCACGGGTGCACACGTGTGTAGTCACCAAGGCAAAAATCCATAAATTGGGCTACGAACTGCTACCCCATGCAGCATATTCACCAGATTTAGCCCCCTGCGACTATTTCCTGTTTCCAAACCTGAAGAAATGGCTGGGCGGTAAGAGATTTAGGTCGAATGAAGAGGTCATCACTGAAACAAACGCCTATTTTGAGGGCCTTGAGAAAACCTATTATTTGGAAGGAATAAAAAAATTGGAAAAACGGTGAACTAAATGTATCGAGCTAAAAGGAGACTACGTTGAGAAATAAAATGCTTATTTGCCGAAAAAAATATCTTTTATTAAAAAAGTCACTGACTTATCAAACTACCCTCGTATGATGGTTCTGGACAGAGAGTAATGGCAATGTGCCCAAACAGGTAGGATAATATAAAGCGGAATATCCTCATTATGGTATATCGTAGATAGGAATTCTGTGATGATACTTTTAATAAAGATTAGATTTTGCATTAATATAGATACATAATGTAATTGTCAATTTTCCTGCGATCGTAAGGCAGCATAAAAATAAAGGAAATCACTTATTTCTTTCTAGAAGAATATCAAATGTTATAATAAACGACCACGTTATGTCCTGGGTTATTCCCGATGAATGGACATTCGAGGACGCTGCCACTGTTCCGTGTCTTTATGCCACAAGCTGCTACGCTCTCTACGAGAAAGGGAAGATAAAGAAAGGAGACAAAGTTCTCGTTCATTTGGGCACCGGCGGCGTTGGTCAAGCTGCGATCCACCTGGCGCTTTACGAAGGATGCGAAGTGTTTACAACAGTCGGGACTTTGGAGAAACGACAATTCGTTAGAGAAACCTTCCCTTCGATCCTTGACGATCATATCGGCAATTCTCGCGACATAAGTTTCGAACAAATGATCCTTGAGCAGACACACGGTCAAGGGGTAGATATTGTGTTAAATTCCTTAGCTGAAGAAAATCTTTAGGCGTCTGTTCGATGTTTGGCGAAAGGCGGACGATTCTTAGAAATAGGAAAATATGACTTGTTTGCCGATAATACCCTAGACATGAAGATTTTTGCAAAAGGCATCAGTTTCCATGCGATTATGTTAGACAATATAGTAAATTCCACCACGAAAAATAACGAAATTATATATAAATATATGCTGCAAAGTCTAAAAAACAGCTCGATAAAACCACTCCCGAGGAAAGTGTTCGAAAGAACCGAAGTAGAAGCTGCCTTTAGATACATAGCAGCTGGCAAGCATATAGGAAAGGTAATTTCTCGCGCAGACAAAAGTTTCTTCTTTTTGTTCTTGGCGCTCCGTGAACGATCATATGAAATTCTACTACTACTATTCTTATTTTCAGATCCTGATAAAGATACACGATGAAAACGAGCCATTAGGTCTTCCTGTTCTCGCTTATCCCCGATTTTTCTGCAAGCTTCACAAGTCTTACATCATTTTAGGCGGCTTAGGCGGCTTCGGTCTGGAATTAGTCGACTAGCTGATTCTTCACGGAGCAAAGAATCTTCTTCTAACTTCGCGGACTGGGCTGCGAAATGGTTATCAGCGCTCAAGGATGGAACTGTAGAGATCTTACGGGGTGAATGTGTAAATTATCGCGGGTGCTGATGTGTTCGATCGCAAGGACTGTGCGTTCATTTTGAATTCTGCCGCTGAAATGGGACCGGTGGACGCTATATTCAATCTTGCCGTGGTGCTGAAAGACTCTCTTTACAAGAATCAAACTGCTGAGTCCTTCAAAGAATCATTCAAGCCGAAGGCAATGGCCACGAAGATGATGGACGAGCTATCCAGAAAGATGTGTCCTGATCTCCGGCATTTTATCGTCTTTTCGTCCGTCTCGTGTGGCCGAGGAAACGCTGGACAAACAAATTATGGTATGGCCAATTCTATCATGGAGAGGATATATGAGAGGAGAGTACAGGACGGATTACCTGGGATGGCTATACAGTGGGGTGCGATGGGTGATGTGGGCCTCGTAGCCGATATGCAAGAGGATAATAAGGAACTGATTATCGGCGGTACTTTGCAACAGAAAATTCAGTCCTGCCTTGAGTCATTGGACACTTTTATGATACTAAATCGACCGATTGTGGGCAGTATGGTCGTGGCTGAGAAGCATGCGGAATTAGGTGGAGTGATGGATATTTTGGAGACCGTAGCTAGTATCATAAGTAATCTTCTTCTTTCTATTAGGAGCGCAAAAAAGTTCTGAGCCCTAGATTTCATACTACTGAAACCACAATTTAAATTGCATTAATTTTCCCGCCCTCTTGCGGTTTTAAAGCAGTGACATTTGGTCTTTCGAAACATCGTGCAATTTAGCGTTTGATGCACATAACCTTAAAATCAGCAGTGTTCACGATGGCAATAACAAAAGAGCATATTCGATTTTCCATCCACTTCGCGTTTCATCTGAAGAAAAATGCTGCTGAAGCCACTGAAATGATCTGTGTTGCATATGAAGAGAACGCTGTAAGTTATGCTACGTATAAAAGGTGGTATCAAAAATTTCGCCAAGGAGATTTCAGTCTTGAAGATGAACCGCGTGCTGGACGCCCTCAAAAGATTGAAACGGACGAACTGCAAGCATTGTTGGATATAAACCCTGCACAAACTGAAAAGGAGCTTGCAGAGCAACTTGGCGTTACGCGACAAGCCATTTCCACACGTTTACACGTGCAATGGGAAAGGTTCAAAAGGAAGGCAGATGGGTTCCGCATGCACTGTCCGAAGACAACAAAAATCGACGGCGTGACACGGCACTCACTTTGCTTTCAAGGTTCCGGAAAAAGGATTTTCTGCACCAAATCATTACAGATGATGAAAAGTGGATATTTTATGATAATCCGAAGCGTAAAAAATCATGGGTTGACCCTGGTCAACCTTCGACATCGACGCCAAAGACCAATATTCACGCTAAGAAGGTTTTGCTTTGCATATGGTGGGATTGGAAAGGTGTATTGTATTACGAGTTGTTACAGCCGGGTGAAACAGTAACGGCAGATCGCTATCAGCAACAATTGAGCAATTTGAGCGATGCGTTTGAAGAAAAGAGGCCATTTACTGGCAAAGGACGTCGTAAAGTAATACTGCTTCATGACAATGCCCGACCACATGTTGCGAAAGTGACTCAGGACCATATCTTTGCGTTAGGCTGGGAACTTAGGTCTGGGCTCCCGCACGCGGCGTATAGCCCAGACATGGCGCCTTCCGATTACTACTTATTCCGGTCTCTGCAGCATTTCTTGGCTGATACACATTTTGTGACACTTGAAGAGATACGAAAATGCATTGATGACTTTATCGCCTCGAAGCCGGTGAGCTTCTACTATCAGGGAATTCGCAAGCTACCCGAAAGATGGCAAAAGGTCATCGATGCAAACGGGGAATATTTCGTTGATTAATATAGTTTTGTTTGTTTTTAAATAAATTTTGAATTTTGCAAAAAAGGCTCAGAACTTTTTGCGTTCCTAATATATATATAATAAATCTGTTACACGTTTCAAGATTTTCGCGATGAAACATTGAAGATATAGCTAATGAATTATGGTTAATTATACATTGCTTTCTCTATATTTCTCTATATGTGGTCTGAATGTTGTGTTTTTTTCGTGCCTTTTGTTGTCATAAATGAATATAAGCGACTGTGGCTAGAAATTAAGAGCCTTATCTTTTTCCGTATTTGCCCGTCTAGGAGTGAAAGACGTGAAAACGGTCGGACATCGCACCCCATTGTCAGAGATCGGTATGGACTCGATGATGGCGGTGGAGGTCAAGCAAACGTTGGAGCGAGAATTTGATGTTTATCTCACGGCACAAGACATTCGAAGTCTCACTTTCGAGAAACTCCACAATATGGCCGACAAAGACAAGCGTTTCGAACAGACTGAGATATTCGATTCGGCAGGTGTAAAATTTTTGATTCATTTATTGAGCAGTTTAGATATCGTACCAGATGTTTGCTTGGAGATGACTACAAGAAATGAGGCGAACAAAAAGCAGATATTTCTTCTACCAAGAATCGAAGGTTGCGCAAGCGTATTTAATTCATTGGCCTCGAAAATTAAAAGTCCCTTTACATGTTTGCAACACGGAGCAAATAATATCCCCATGAGCGAATCCGTGCTGCAGTCGGCAGCCACTCTAATACCTGTACGTATTAATATAACAGAGAAGGTATCTGTTCGATATTTCAATGAATCCATTCCAGATTGATATCGGATTATATCGATTAAAAAAATAATACAAAGATTTCTTGTATCTTTCCTATAGCATATAATATCGAAGATAGAGAATTCCGCAGAATTTATAATAGTTGGGTATTCATATGAGACATTAATTGCTATCGAGGTAATGAGACTGTTGGAAGCCAGAAATTTCACAGGATATTTAATATTAATCGATGGCACGCTTGACTATGTGAGAATTATGAAAGAACATCATTTTCCTTTCACCAATCTCCAGGAATTTCAAAACGATATTCTCCTAAATGTTATGGGTTTATTTTACTCCATCAATAATACATCGGTACGTTGTGTAAAATAAGTTTATTGTTATAATATAAAATACAATAATAACAATAACTGTTAACAGATTTTAATACAATTGTCCGCACGACACGTGGGAGAAGAAGTTGGATGCTTTTATCGAATGTCTTCCAGACGATATTATATAAGTGACTTCGGTTGAAAATTACAAGACTTATTGTACGACAATTTATAAGCATCTGATCGCTATTCACGAATATAATGCGTCTTTACTGCCGCCACTAAAATCACATATATTATTACTAAAACCCACAATGCCGTATTTACTTTCTGCAGATGAAAATGACGGCTTGAATAAGGTATTCTTGATGCAATGATATGTAACAATGCAAAGTTTTCATCTTTGAAAATCAATTGACGACAATGTTAACCATTTATTTAGATAACCAAAGGTAACGTACAAGTCCGCCATGTCGAAGGTAATCATCTCACGATATTGGAAAGCAATGAACTTGCTGATATTATTAATGAAATATCGTCTTAAGCAGTTAAGTTTTATAATGTTGAAAAGTTCGCGATTTTGTAAAGCGAAGGAGTTAAGGTGGAATGTGAACAAGGATACGCAGACATTTATTGTAAACAAAGCAATCATAAAATCTAATAAACTGGTATAAACTGATGTAAGCTGCTGTATTCTCTTATAATTTTTTATGGTAAGTATACCGGAAGAGGGAACCCATCTCCATTGACCTTAATTTCTACATATATTTTCAAGATTACCCTTCTTAAGCACCTTACAAAAGCCACCGAGCCACCTTCTATCACATCTCACATGTACTGTTTAATATATTTTTAACTTACACTGTATCAAAAAAACAAGCTCTATTAATGAGACTTGTTTGTTAATTTCACTTATTAATAAACAATGAGCAGCGGTTAAAATCTTTGAAAATTACTCAGGAAAATATCCTCTATATAAATAATACATATTAAGATCATAGCCATTGAAGCTAGTTCTCTTATTTGATATTATTTACAATTTGTATTTACATATACAATGTGTCTTATAACTTAGTACGAGGGATTCGTAGAGAAATAGAACGGATTAAAACTAATAGAAAATTCACATACCGTTTTGTGATAATCTCAATAATTATTGAGTTGTTATTAAGTCTATACATAAGTTCAATATCTTTTTAGCAGGATTTTAATATTTATCCTGCTTCCTTTGCTTCCTTTCGACTTTCTCGGGAGATTGAAAGTGGGAATACACAAAGTACTGCTGAAGCAACCGGAATAGGTAATAATCCGTAGGGCCAAGATCTGGAAAAGAAACCGCATGTAGGAGAATTTTCCAGTTCAAAAAACAGATATGTTCCACGGTCACTTTACCGTGTATGGCCGCGCATTATCGTGCAGCAGAAGTACATGCCGGGTTCTGCTGCCGGTAAATAATATTTTTCTCGCTTAAATTAATAAGTTGCTGTTGATAACGTTCAAAAGTAACAGTCTCACTGGATTTGAGCAACTCATAATAAATAACGCTTTTAAAATCCCATAAAATACTTACAAGGAACATCTGCGAAGTGTATGTTTCCGATTTCAACGAAATTTGGCATATTTGTAGAGTAGACAAAAGTAAAAGATCGTACTTTTTTTATCGGCAATCGCGCAGGGTTAAGGAATGAAACTACCCCTCAAATTTTCATCCCCTTTATATTATTTCGATAACTATTGCAGATAGAAAAAAAAATTTTAAACAAAAATTGTACGGTTTTTTTATGAAAAATAAAATAGGTTTGGTTAAAATTAAAAAATATTTTTAATAATTAACAAAATGACCATAGTAAATTTAATTAATTAATTTATCAAATTCATTATATAGAAGAAAAAGTTAGCATTTTTCATTCTGAATTCATTTATATATAATGTTTCATATTTAAATTATTCGTACATTGCAATTTTATAAATGGAAGTGATACCATGAGCAAAGTGCTTGGTAACGTGCATGAGCGCTTAATCGCTACATCGCTATGTAAGTAACGAATATCTATTTACATCTTTTGAACGCATTTTAAATAATACAACAATAAAAATAATTCAGAAACTATTAATACATAAATCTATTAATACTATATAAATACTATTAATACATAAATTAATACATAACATCGGCCGCAGAACTTTTTTTTACTTGTAACATACGAGGTTTGAAAAAAAAGGAACGAGAATTTTTAATTTTCTCGAAAAGTATTTATTTAATCTTCAGCGTTTATCCCATCTCCTTCAAAGTAGTCCCCCTGTGATATTATACACTCATGCCAACGTAGTTTCCAGTTTGAGAAACACTGGTGGAACGCCTCTTTAGGTATCGTCTTGAGCTGGATCTGCGATTTCGCCTTTATCTCATCTATTGTTGAAAAACGTTGTCCCTTGAATGTCCTTTTGATTTTGGGAAATAGGAAAAAATCACAGGGGTCATGTCTGGAGAATAAAGTGGTTGCGGCATTACAACGGTATTGTGTTTCGCCAAGAACTGTTGAATAAGCAAAGTGGTATACTCTCTGATTCGACATTTCGCCACACAAAAAACACACTAAAGTACGTCAAACATACTAAAGTACGTCTTGCTCATTCGCTCGCCAAACACAAACTAAACGTCGCAGCTGCTTGAAAATTGGCACGTACGTCACTGATAGTGCTATCAACACATAAAGAAAAAATTAACTGAATAAACAAGATACAGCGCGCAATTTCAACATTCTCGTTACTTTTTGATGAAACCTCGTATATATAAGTTGATTTAGTTAGTGGTTATTAGCTAGCATTGATTGTTGTCAAAGTTTCAAGTTTATATATATACAAGGTGATTCAGGACCTTTGCAACACTGCAAACTTTAACCCTTTCGCTTCGCCGTCCAGTCCGCCGAAGTACCGTCACTGAACGGAAGCACGCACCAGAAATGTGCACAGTGCGCGGTATTTGTATACGTTTTTCTAAGTCTTAAATAACAACTGTACTTAATAAAACAATCGTTGCTCTAATATAACAAGTATAATTTACATTTTTAATATGAAAAGATTTATACAAAATTATATTAGTTGTTCTAAAAACATTAGACTAATTACAGTTTATATATTTTTAGGTATTTGTATATTTACAAGACTTTACGATTAAATGTTTAATATAATTAATAATGTAACGCAAATTGGTTACTGTATTAAATCTCTAAAAAAACGTATATTAAATATCGTTTTACTGTCGAATGAATTCGATAGATTTTTGGAATGAAACAGTAACCGATCGTTTTGATGTCTGAAGTATATTACGTAATACGTTTTGATGTCGTAACAACAAAGATTAGTTTTAATGTGTGATTAATCCAATATGTCAATAAAATCAACAAAAAATGTTCTGCCGATAACGAAGAATTTATCATCGACTACAGATGGCACTTGTATACACATCATGTGGATGCCGGATATATCCGGCGCTCGTGCTCACAGGTCGTCGAGTGGATACCGGATATATCCGGCGCTCGAAGCGAAAGGATTAAGGGACGATAGGTCCTGTACAAAGGACCATTTTTTATCAAATAACCAATGTTCTCTGACGCGTCGTTTCTGACGCGAAACGACCTGCATCTTATTTTCGTTTCGAAGAGACAAAAATATCGAGAGCGCGGTAGTCGCTAGACCGGGAATCAAACCAGGGTCTTTCGCTTGCTGGGCGACTGCTCTAAACCATTGAGCTACCTGACGTTCCACGCTCACGACATTCTCCTCTCCCTAGATATACCGCGTAATAAGACCGCGAAGGTCTTATATTATAGGTAACATTGATTACGATTATGACCTCCTTACTTATTTTAAAGAAGATGCTCAAACTACCCTGAATTTCATTGCATTCATGGCATCGTCGTAATATCGATTGGTGGGACAGGCACGGAAATGAAATATTAAATATCGAAATATGGATAATAAGATTTTAATTTAGACCCAAAATAAGAAAGATCCTCAAAAATTACAACGAGGTACGATTATTCGTTATCGAGAAATTAAAACTGAAAGTTCAAGGCCGATCGATGCGAAAATAGCGTGTTACCGGATATAAACTGCAAAATTATTTGCTATAAGACATTAATCTAGGTTCGAAATAACATTGATCCGTGCAAACTGCATCGAGCTGTGATCACGCGTTTCGGCGTTATAAGCCACGAAAGATGGAAAAGTGACAGGCACGGAAATGAAATATTAAATATCGAAATATGGATAATAAGATTTTAATCTAGACCCAAAATAAGAAAAGTCCTCACAAATTACAAAGAGGTGCGACTATTCGTTATCGAGAAATTAAAGCGGAAAGTTCAAAGCCGATCGATGCGAAAATAACGTGTCACCGGATATAAGCTGCAAAATTATTTGCTATAAGACATTAATCTAGGTTCGAAATAAGATTGATTCGTGCAAACCGCATCGAGCTATGATCACGCGTTTCGGAGTTACAAGCCACGGAAGATGGAAATGTGACAGGTTCGACAATAAGTTGTCATGAAATATTAATTATCGAAATATGAGTCATAAGGTTTTTTAGTCTAGAGCCAAAATAATAAAGATCCTCGTGTACCGCACTGAGTTGCGATTACGCCTTTTGGGGTTACAGGCGACGAAAGATGTAAAAGCGATAAATTCGGAAATGATGAGTCATGAAGTGATAAGGAACGAAAAATGAATGATAATGTTTTAATCTAGATCCAGAATAACTAAAATTCCCGCAACTAGGTACGCCTACTCGTTATGGAGAATTTAAACCGGTTAGATCAAGATAGATCGATGCGAAAATGAATCACTGGGCCTAAGCGTGCATATTGCTCCCTCTGTCGAGAGACATGTGATTCACGGAACGGAGGTCGTTTATTTTTGGTGTCAATTCTAGGAACCGACAATTTACTACATGAATAGCGTTAGTTCTAAGAATTGATTTTCCTATTTCCAAGTTAAAAGAACGCGATATCGTGATGGGGACAATTTTAAATTTTATAATACGAAGAATGTAAAATAATGTTACTCTTTAGAGTATAGTTAGTCGTTGAAGTTTGGAGCGTTCTTTGAGCGAAAATTGAAAATAGCCTTTATTTAAAAAAAAACTACTTAATATAAATGTAAATACATATAATAAGTAAATCTATGTTAAATATGACA